TGCTTCAGACGACATAGCAGATACAACAGGTCAGACCGAGGTTATTGACCACTCAGAGTCGTTAGAAGAGTTAGGCGGATAGGCGTCGATGGGAGCTCGAGTTTCAGGTCGGGGATCTTGTACTCCTGAAAGTGTCTCCTTGGAAAGGAGTGATCCATTTCAGGAAGAGGGGCAAGCTGGGGCCCCAGTATATTAGGCCGTTTAGGGTGATCACGAAGGTGAGTAGAGTAGCATATCGCTTGGAGCTACCTGCGGAGTTGGACCAGATTCATGATACCTTCCATGTGTCGCAGCTAAGGAAGTGTATAGCCGACGAGTCGGTAGTGGTACCATTGGAGGATATCCAGGTGGACGCGAGTCTGAATTATGTCGAGAGGCCAATCGCAATCGTGTATCGGAAGATCAAGGATCTGAGAAACAAGGAGGTGCACTTAGTTCAGGTTCAGTGGCAACATCGGAGAGGGTCTGAGCTGACTTGGGAACCGGAGTCAGAGATGCGGGAGCAGCATCCGGAGTTATCTTAGACATGAGACTTCGAGGGAGAAGTCTGGTTCTAGTGGGGGAGAATTGTAACATCCCGAAACTCAGGTAAGCTTTATAACCCTTCTACTTTTGCAAGTTGTCAAGATAAGTCCCATAAGTTGAACATTAGACTTATGAGTACGCTGGGCGTAATGAGGTGTACGCCGCACGTACTCGCACGCTTATTTTGGACGCAAACTCGCTTGGGTACGCTGGGCGTAACCAGGGTTACGCTGGGTGTAATATGCCCAGATACAAACCCTAATTATGGCTTGTGCACTATAAAAGGAACGTTAAGTCCTTTACCCCCAGCCACCATACTTCATTGAGTGAGCCCTAAGAGAGCAGAAAATCCGTTTTGAGCTTGTGTGTCTGTTCTTAAGCTTGAAGGTGCCTTCTTAAAGTGAAGAGGAAGCCATTGTTGGAGCTAGAAGTTGGAGAGCAAGAGTAGATCCGAGTTCTATAGAGGTTGGAGCTCCTTTTTGAGGTAAAAAGCTCAAAGTTTTCCTTGCATTTCATGAGTTTTGTTTTATGGACCCGTTTTTAGGGTTTTTGGTTCAAAGGTGGAGACTTTTTGTGCAAAGGGTCTCCATAAGCTTAGATCTGGCCTTTCCCAGTGTATTATGTGATGAAAGTTCAAAAAAATCCAATCTTTGTCGTGGATATTGAGTCATGCATGAGATATGGACTTAATATGGAAAGAGGAAAGGTGTTTTGAGGGTGTAAAGGCCTTTACATCCATGCAAAGGCTTAAAGGTTCCGACTTTATGGAATAAGAGGTTTTGAGGGAGTCAGATCTGGAAGTTGGAGAAGTGGCTTAACCGTTTAAGACCAAAATCCATACAGTAGCTGAACTGGGACTTACGCTGGGTGTAATCCCAGTACGCGCAGCGTAAGGGGTCGCACCCCCCAATTCTGTGAAGGCACCGAGTACGCCCAGTGTACATGTTTGGTACGCGCAGCGTAACCAGGAGGGTTGAATTTTGTTGACTTTTAGGGTTTGGTCAACTTTAGGGTATTTAAGCCATGAGAGGGGTAAAATGGTCTTTTACCCTCCTGAGAATGATAGGAAAGGAAGGAGTCTAGCCTTTGGGAAATGTATTAATGTAAAGTGTTTGTTATGATTAGGCGGAGGCTAGACCCGATTCATAGAGTTCGAGATTATCCGAGATACCGAGGTGAGTTTTCTCACTATACTGTACCCGGAAGGGTACCTATGTGTGACCGGAAGGTATTGTATGATATGATGTATGTGCTATATGCGGTTATGTGATATTTATGTGCTATGTATGTTATGTATGCTAAGGACCGGAAGGTCAAGAGGGTACGGATCGGAAGGTCGATACGGGTAGGACCGGAAAGTCTACCGGAGTTTGGGATGGAAGTCCCATGAGACATCTGGATCGGAAGATCCCATAGAGTATGGCCTGGAAAGGCGTATGTGCGATATGTGGTATTTTGGGGAACTCACTAAGCATTTATGCTTACAGTGTTGTGTTATGTGTTTCAGGTACTAGTGACGATCGCGGGAAGGCGCTGACTTGACTCGTACACACACACCGATGGATTTGGATATGTTTTGATCTTGGGATGTAATGTTATGGATTTATATGTGATACAAATGATATTTTACAACTATTATGAATGAAAGTGTGTTTTAAATGTGAAAAATTGTTTTGAAAATTTACGTCATTACATAAAGCTTGCAACTTTACGTGGTATCTGCACTAGGGGAGGTTGGATCTGAAGTTTAGGACCTTAGATCCCACTGAAAAGGGCTGAACATAAAAGGGACCGAAGGAACTCGTCGAGTCCCTTAGTTGACTCGACGAGTCGGGGTGGGGTTTGCCTATTTTTTAGTTTCTGATTGACTGTAGTGAAGGATTAGGGTTTTGGTCTGAGTGGACTTTATGTTTTCTGGACATTTGATGAACTCGACGAGTCACTAAGGTGACTCAACGAGTTGGCTCGAGATTCAGTGGAATGATATCGGGAGGAACTCGACGAGTTGTTGGATACACTCGGCGAGTTGATGTAAACATGGACTGTTGACCTTGACTTTGACCAGGATTGACTTCGTGGATATTTATTGGGATTATGAAAAGTTAATCACATGTTTATTATAGGCAGTTGAGGAGGAGCAGTGTGTGGGAAATATCTAATCTTAGCTTATCAGTTTAGCATTTGAGAGGTGAGTCTCCTCACCATACCAATGGGTCGAAGGCACCAAGGCCGATCCAATTATGATATGGGATACTCTAGCTGAAGTTATATTATGAGACATGATAGTTGGTTATGTGCTAGGATTGTATGTTAGTTGTATGCTTGTATGGAAGACCACAAGAGAGCCCATGACACCTGGATGTAAGACCATGTGGAGATCCCATGACTTTCCTACTAAAGACCATGTGGAGAGCCCATGATAACAGGATGTAAGACCATGTGGAGAGCCCATAGCTTTCCTATTAAAGACCATGGGAGAGCCCATGACACCTAGGTGTAAGACCATATGGGGATCCCATGGCATCATGGAGTAAGACCTTGGGGACAGCCCACGATATCCCTATATGTTATATGCATGGCTTATGTGATATATGTAGCTTTGTAGCTAATATGATATGTGATTATGTGGATTGTGTATGGAGTATGCTCTGGGGAACTCAGTAAGCATTAGCTTACAGTTTGTTGATTTGTTTCAGGTACTTTGGAGCCTAAGGGCAAGGGCAAGATTTGATGGTACTTCGGGTGTGACTTGATGAATACCAGGCGGCGTCTGATGAATGTTGGGTAGGGCCTAAATTATGTATGGTATGCAATATTTTGGGGAGCTCATTAAACTTTGTACTTACGGTCTTATGTTTATAGTTTCAGGTACTTTTGAATCCAAGGGGAAGAGCTTGACGTGATTGCATCATATTTGCCATTATTCCGCATTTATGATATGATTTGTACTATGATAATTATTTTATACATTTTTACACTTTGATAAGGTTTGAAATGAATGATTGGTGGTTTTGATTGACTTAGAAACAAAAAAATTTTACTTTGTATTTTTGAGTGTTACAATAATAATAATAATAATAATAATAATAATAATAATAATAATTTGAGTTTGTAATCGTCAATAAATGTTGTTTTGTTTTGTATAAGATATTGTTCAATTTAATTTAGTGATATTACTTTCATTTGCTTTTTTATTTTATTTAAGAATTAGAAATTGCTCTCTTCTTGCTTTGTGGGGGACTCAAACATGTTGGATCATTGTTGATAAAGATTTTGCTTACTATGTTGTATCACACGGAAGTACACATTTTCTATTATATAAAAATCATTTTCGTAATTTTTTGAATACATGAACTATTCTGTAACAATGTTTTCCGTAAATTATAAGGATAGTTTTGGACCAAATTTGTCAAGACACGAAATTCTTGTGGCACATGGACCATTTTGTAAAAACAAAACTGTACATAGATCTGTCTGTGAATTATAAGGACAATTTTTATAATTTATTTTATATACATGTACCAAATTTAATATAAAAATATTTGATGGCCAAAGTATAAAACCAAAAACTTCACTATTCCTACACAGGTTACTCTAATTTTTTATATATAATAATTCTTGATTCTTTACTCCTTGTTGATTGTTTACTTGTATCACAACAATTCAACCTTTCCGTTATTATTTGATTTGAACATGAGTAATTATATGTTTTTTATTGCCATTGTTTTGAAATATTCTTACCTGTCTTTGGCGGTGATCAAGGAAATATGAGCCAGATAATGACACAAACGAAGAAGTCAATGAATTTTGTTTTTGGTTGCTTGTAGCTTGGCGGGTTTGAAGCTCCAAAATGCCAATTATCTTTCTGCTAAGTTGACTCGTGAGTCTTGATGATTTATTGCCCGTTGTATATAATGTTCAAGAACCTTCTTATATTCATATAAAAAATATGAGTGTAGTTTAATAATCTTGAAGATCAGATTTAGTCCTATATATATGGATTATTTGTTTTTACATTTCTTCTATATATGGTATTAATTTATCAACATATTCAGGTGCTGGTTGCAAAATGAATTTCCACATTAGTAGTTGAAGCACATCTTGAAACTACAAACCCCATCTGGACATAACAATCAAAACTTTGAAAACTAAACAGACAGAGACAGGATTGCATTATCATAATATTTTTTTGTTTGTTCCTAGGTATAAAATTATCTTCTAGGTTGATGTTAAATCGCTTGGTCGTCTTATTCATTAGTTAATTCCTACTGTAATTTTCACGAAACTTTGAATATTTATATAAAATTACGACATTAGCATCCACATTAACCATAGGTACATGGTTTTTATTTATCGGTGTATTCAGGTGTGTGTTTTTGCTTAATTAATTAGTCATGGCTACCTCTTTCAGTCGTTCATCATCTCCAATATTTCAAATTTCTTGTATCTATTTCTTTGTCAATTCATTTTTAATCATGTTACCTTTGTCTGAATCGGTATATTTCAATATCACTCAGTTTGAGGCTGATGCAACAAACATACTCTATTCAGGCGATGCGGTGCCATCTCGTGGAGACATAGAGTTTAACAGAGTGAATTACCTCAATCGTGTTGGCCAGGCTGTGTACGCAGATACAATCCCGATTTGGGATGGAAAATCTGGTAAGGTTTCAGATTTCACCACTCGCTTCACCTTCATCATCGATACACAGTCTCAATACTCCTATGGCCATGGGTTCGCTTTCTTTCTTGCCCCAGTTGGCTTTCAAACCCCACGCAACTCAGCTGGTGGGTTTCTAGGCCTGTTTAACACAACTTACACGGATTCACCCCGAAACCAAATGATTGTCATTGAGTTTGACTCTTTCAGCAACCAAGAATGGGATCCTTCATACGAACATGTGGGTATCAATAAGAACTCAATTAGTTCGGCTAATTACACTTCCTGGAATGCTAGTTTACACAGTGGAGACCCTGCGGATGTTTGGGTTTCTTACAATGCTACCACTCAGATTTTAAACCTGTCATGGAGCTACGGGGCTAGAAATGATTCTAGAGAGAATACCAGTCTTTCGTATCAAGTTGACCTCCGGGAAGTTCTTCCTGAGCAAGCAACAGTTGGATTTTCGGCTTCCACTGGTAGCAATGTGGAGAGAAATATCCTTCAATACTGGGAGTTCAATTCAAGCCTGAATATAAAAACCGAAGATGATTCCATTGAGAGGAAACTAGCAGAGGGATTAACAATCCCTATTGGCGTTCTGGTTTTAGGAGGCATAGTAGCATGCAATATATTAAGGAGGAGACAAAGAAAAGCTACACAGAATTCATTAGAGACAGTCACCTTGACATCAATGATGAATCATTTTGAAAGAGGAGCAGGACCGAAAAGATTTTCTTACAGAGATCTCGCTTCAGCTACCAACAACTTTTCTGATGACAAGAAATTGGGCGTGGGAGGATTCGGGTGTGTCTACAAGGGCTACTTATCCAGCGAAGCCGTAGAAGTTGCTGTCAAGAAAAATTCACAGGGTTCTAAACAGGGAAAAAACGAGTACATAACCGAAGTAAATATCATTAGTCGTTTAAGGCACCGAAACTTAGTACAACTCATTGGTTGGTGCCACGATCAGACTCAATTCTTGCTAGTTTACGAGTTTATGCCAAACGGAAGCCTTGATTCCCACCTCTTTGGCAAAAAGAGTCCCCTTGAGTGGGGTGTGAGGTACAAGATTGCTATGGGTTTAGCTTCTGCGCTGCTCTATCTGCACGAAGAATGGGAACAATGCGTGGTGCACCGAGATATCAAAACAAGCAACATCATGATTGATTCAGGATTCAACGCGAAGCTCGGAGACTTTGGATTGGCTCGACTCAGGGACCATGAGTTGGGTCCACAAACCACTGGTTTAGCGGGAACTCTGGGCTACTTGGCTCCGGAATACGTAACCACAGGAAGGGCCAGTAAAGAGTCAGACGTGTATAGCTTTGGGATAGTTGCATTAGAGATTGCGTGTGGGAGAAAGGCGACGGATCGCATTGATGAAACATTTGATCTAGGGTTGGTGGAGTGGGTTTGGGGTTTGCGAGGAAAAGGCGAGCTGCTTTCAGGAGTGGATCAGAAGCTGAACAAGGAGTTTGACACCAAACAGGTTGAGTGTTTGATGATGGTGGGATTATGGTGTGCTCACCCTGACCAGAGTTTGAGGCCGTTGATCCGACAAGCAATTCAGGTGCTTAAGTTGGAGGCTGCGGCCCCAAATCTTCCAATGAAGATGCCGGTGCCGATGTACTACTACACAGCACCAGATGCTCCTGAAGTCAATTCTGGAGGCGCTACGATGAGTTACACCAGCATTCATCTCGCGCGTTAAACAGAGTTCAACTAGTCTTTGTTGATGTGGTCGATGGACGTAATATTGTAAATTATCTAAACGGACTTTGTATTATTGAAGAATAAGTCAGGTTAGTAATTCAAAGTTTGGTGCTAGAATATTTACTTATTTTAGACAAAATTACACTCTTTTGTCTACATGCTTTTGTGGGTTTCTGAATTAATTTCAGTTTTTTAATTTTTACATCTTAATCATGAAGGGAGAAGTTTTATGTCACATGACTTTGGTCCTGAGCTATTTAACTTAATTGATAAAACTTTAAATTCATACAATGACCATTCTGTTCTTATCATAAAAATCAAGAAATGACCATTTTGTCTTTATCATATGCATTTTTACGATCTTCAATTTTTAGTGTTCATTCTCAAGATTATTTAAATCCAACATAATTAAAAAACAAATGTTACCAAAATCTTTTAAAATCAAACCTAATTATAATAAGATAAAATCGAATGAAATATAATTACGCACATCATCATTTAACAAAATATGGGTTTTCTTTTGCTTATTCAAGATCATCAGAAACCTAATCACAACCATAAAGAAAAAGGTTGTTAGAATTGTCCTAGGAAAAGCCTCCGACTATCAAATTAGATTGGGTGAAACAATGAATATGACTTCTCGTAGCCTAGAATGAGCCATATATATATATATATATATATAAAAGAGAATAATATGTAAGAGAAGAAAAAGAGCAAGATCAAAATTTGGGATCCCTCCAAATGGTGGAAGGAAGCCTCTATTTATATGGTCATGACCACGAGGGGAAGGCAAAGAGAGGGCAATAAAGAGGATGGGGCTTACATTCCTTTAATATATTTAAAATTCCTTACGCATTATATACATTTAGTTATATAAGTAAATTGTTAGTAGGATTGACAGTTTTGTCCTGCTTCTCCACCATGTTACCTCTGGTACCAAGTGGGTAGGGCGGTGTTTCGGCATTTCCCGCCTTCCGTCTACATTGCTTTTCCCCCTTTCCTTCTTTGGTCCACTACAAAACAAGACAACAATTATGTTGTAGCTTCTTTTTATGCGATGCTGAGTGCGTGAGGTGGTATTCCAGCAGATACGGATGCGCTACATAGCTCACCCACCTCCATTCTTGAGCATTTCCCAAAACTGTGTCTACTGTCCTCATCGGTGAAAATTTTTATAAGAGTGTTTGAGATTTCATCTCAAAATAACTTATTGATTTTTTGAAAAGTCAATAAGTCAAAAAAAAAAAAATTTGTAAAAAGAAAAAAAACTTTTAAAACTAATCCAGATATTTAAAAAAAAAAAAACTTATTTTCTTATCATCATAAGTCAATAAATCTTTTTATCTTAAAATCATTTCATGTTCAAAATGAAATTTCAAACACCCTCTAAATGCCATTATAAATAAAAATATTAGTTAGTAAAACTAAACTTGTATTGCTATTATAAATAAAGAAAAACATAGTAAAGTTGTATATGTGAAAAATAAAAATGCATTACAAGGAAATTGTTTAACCATATATAGTACAAACTACGAAGTATGCTTTTGGTTTTAACGAATAGCTAAACTGAAGCGATCCACATTCAACGCACGAGATCAATGCTAGTGTAAGTCAACGAAGCACCTCCAGAACCAGAACTGAGCTCACGCCCATCTGGTGCTGCGTAGTACATGGCCACCGGCATCTTCTTTGGAAGATTTGGGGCCGCACCCTCGAACTTAAGCACCTGAATCGCTTGCCGGATTGACGGTCTCAGACTCCGGTCCGGGTGAGCGCACCATAACCCCACCGTCATCAAACGCTCCACTTGTTTCCCATCGAATTCCTTGTTCAGCTTCTGGTCCACCCCTGAAAGCAGCTCCCCTTTTTCTAGCAAGTCCCAAACCCACTGCACTAACCCTAGATCAGAATTTGGGTCAACACTATCCATCGCCTTTCTCCCACAAGCAATCTCTAATGCTACCACCCCGAAGCTGTAAACATCCGACTCTTTGCTGGCCTTCCCTGTCGTTACATACTCAGGAGCCAAGTACCCCAAAGTTCCGGCTAACCCAGTTGTCTGTGGACCCAATTCATGGTCCATGAGTCGAGCCAATCCAAAGTCTCCGAGCTTCACGTTGAATCCCGAATCAAGCATGATGTTGCTTGTTTTGATATCTCGGTGAACCACGCATTGTTCCCATTCTTCATGGAGATAAAGCAACGCAGAAGCTAAACCAGTAACGATCTTGTACCTCAAACCCCACTCGAGACAGCTCTTTTTGCCAAAAAGGTGGGAATCAAGGCTGCCATTTGGCATAAACTCGTACACCAGCAAGAATTGAGTTTGATCATGACACCAACCGATGAGTTGCACCAGGTTTCGATGCCTCAAGCTGCTAATAATCTTTACTTCGGTTATATACTCTTTCTTCCCCTGTTTAGAACCCTGTGAAATTTTCTTGACGGCAACCGCCATGCCTTCGCGAGCTAAGTAGCCCTTGTAGACACACCCGAATCCTCCCTCACCTAACTTCCGGTCACCGGAGAAATTGTTGGTAGCTGAAACAAGATCCTCATAAGAAAATCTTTTTGGTCCTGCTCCTCTTTCCAAATCCTCGTTCATCGATGTCATGATGACTGTTTCCGATGATTTCTGTTTAGGTTTTCTTTTTCTCCTAAAAAATACACCAAATGCAACTATGCCTCCTAAAACTAGAACACCAAGAGGGACTATTAATCCCACTGCTAGTTTTCTTTCCATTGAACTATCTTTACTCTTCTTTACAATATTCAAGCTTGAATTGAACTCCCAGTATTGAAGGATATGTCTCTCCACATTGGCACCAGTGGCAGCCGAAAATCCAACTGTTACCCACTCAGGAAGAACTTCTCGGAGGTCAACTTGATATGAAAGACTGGTATTCTCTGTAGAATCATTTCCAGCCCCATAGCTCCATGACAGGTTTAGAATCTGAGTGGCAGCATTGTAAGAAACCCAAACATCCGCAGGGTCTCCACTGTGTAAACTAGCATTCCAAGAAGTGTAATTAGCGGAATAAATCGAGTTCTTATTGATACCCACATGTTCATATGGAGGATCCCATTCTGAATTCACGAATGAATCAAACTCGATGACAATCATTTGGTTTCTGGATGAATCTGTGTAAGTTGTGTTGAATAGACCTAAAAAGCCACCAGCTGAGTTGGGTGGGATTTGGAAGCCAACTGGGGCTAGAAAGAAAGTGAGGCCATGGCCATAGGTGGATTGAGATTGTGTGTCGATGATGAAGGTGAAGTGAGTGGTGAAATCGGAAACTTTACCGGACTTTTTGTCCCATATTGGGATTGTATCTGCGTATATGGCTTGACCCACACGAGTTAAGTAGTTGACTTTGTTAAACTCTATGGTTCCAACAGAAGGCATGGCATCCCCTGAATAGAGTATATTTGTTGCATCAACATCAAAACGGTTGATCTCGAAATATACTGATTCAGATAGAGGTAATAAGAATAAGAAAAGTATATAAGAAACTAATTGAAATCCTGGAGATGATGAACTAAAGAAAGAGGTAGCCATGGTTAAGCAAAAACTTAACACACAGTGCAAGTGTCAATGGCACCTGAATATGTTTTGATAAATACGATGAAGGATCGATGCTTATTATATACTAATATGGATGCCAATGCATATCCCTACAAACCTTGATCTACAAGTTTCACCTAATGCCTTATTGATTTTATATAAATATTCATAGGTTCGTGAAGATAGAGTGGGAATTAACTAATTAAGCAATGAACAACTAAGCGCTTAAAGTCAACATAGGAGATAATTTATGTTAAAGAATAAAGTCGCTGATTATAGAAAAAGATTATGTCTCTTTCTTGATTAATTTTCAAAGTTGAAGACTCTTTTTCCTAGGTTTTTCTGGGATTGTGACCAATTCAACCATGCTGTCAGTTAAAAGAATATAATGTTGCCTGCAATTAATAAATCTAATTCTGCTCCATCAAATATATGTATGATGATGTTAGACCTCGCGCGTACCTTCTTCTAGATCTTCATTGACCTGAAACAGGCGGCATTATTCCAGCCTTCTTATTCATCTCCCATGATAAACAAGTAACATGAGTTGGAGGAGATAAATCATTACTTTAAACTGAGATAAAATACGCAAATAAGTTTTATATATTAATTTTTCCCCTATGTGTTTAATTTTCAGTCTGAAAGATGAAGTAATACACATATTTAGATGAAATATATAGAAACAAAAATCCTCAACTTGAAACAATATGTAGTTTAACGACCTATATATATGGATACTTGAAGAAGTTAAGAATGGATCTTCAGAAGTGCTTGCTTGGTATCCAATACTCCCCACCCCACACCTGTCAAGAGCCAACCCAATCGTTTTTGCAGGTGATCTATTGTTTACTTTGAAGGAGACCTTCTCCAGATTTGGTGGTGTGAACCTCATTCCCCACACCCTTTATTTGTTATGCTCTCCGATCTTTTGACAACAAAATTAATGAGTGTGTGAATCAGGGATTGATTCAATTTTGGTCCAACTAGATGATAAATCATCATCGCTACCAAGAACCATTCTTCTAAATCAATTTCCTCCATCTAAATCACTCCATTTAGTTTTCATAAACCTCTAAAAAAATCATCATATATTAATACAAAATCATCACAATTGTCATCCTGATCTTCTAGTCGAAAACTCAAAAAATCTCCATGATTGGAATCTTAAATGTACCATCTTCTTATCCCTATTTTTATTGGTGCACTTGTGCTCACTAATGATGGTTGAGAGAGTTCGGATTATTATAACCACTTGGGTTGTGGTGACTTGGTAAGGCATGTGGAAGATATGGTGGATAACCTATTGACCCATGTTCAAATCCTGGCACCACTCAGCCCTTGTGGCCATGGAGGTTCGCCTGCAGTGACTCCAGGGCATGAAGCAAAGCTTTATGTTTGCAGCGGGGGATTAGTCGGTGCGCGAAAGCTGGCCCGGAAACCCTCGTTAGGGAAGATCCCTTTCCAAAAAAAAAAAAAAAAGCAGTGCATTACACTTGAGAAAGTAGATTAAGGTAGGATTGAGGAGATAAACATAATAAGAAAGTGTTAACCTTGAGCTTGTTAGACACACTCACACACTTGCACATAGTAGATTAAGCAGAGCAAAATACATAGGAAGATTATGGTTACACACAACTGATGTGTATTATTCTCTGAAGACTTGAATACATGAAGGAAAATATCACACGCCTTATAGACACTACAAGGAACGTGGATCGACAAGCTAGGAAACTGAAAGCAACTTCTAAACAGTTTTTGACTAAGTAAATAACTAAACATAGAATAAAGAAAAACATAAAATCATTAAAAGTGGACCAGGTCTTCTAATGCTTTGAGGTGTTGTACGTTCAATAGAAAGTACATGCATGCAAGTTGTACAATACACATGGAATTCAAAATTTAATTCTCTTTGTATGTTAACACCCGAGTGGATAAAGTAAGCAAATGAAATAAATAATAACAATTCAAGAAAGAGGATAGAATTTAGGAATGAATTGTCGTCGTATGAATTGAGAATTGATGAATGCAATTCTTTGACAGAGAGCACGGGAAAAGTTGTAAAGAATGAAGTTGTGAAATAGGAACAAGTACACAAAAGGGCAAGGTGTGATAACATTCATTTGCTTTATATCCTTTTCAAGTATGATTTTTTTTTTTTTTAAATGACATTAACAAAATATACTTGAAGAAGACAATTTTTTATTATTATTATTTTTACTTTAAGCATGAATCTCTTGAATATAAGATAACAAAAAAAGAAAGCCAACACATAGAAATAACTTATAGAAACAATGACATACCCCTTAGTTACTTCCAAATCATATTACATCATTAACAATGCATCAATACATATTAACTAAAAAGATGACATTCATAACATATATTGAAATTACAAACTTTTGCCTGACATTCAAGAACCAAACGGCCATTAATATCACAATTACAATCAGAACACACATATTTGGGCGTTCTCTTTCTTCGAACATATGTTAATGGATGTTTGTGATAGGAAACGTTTATGTTTCCCTCGTACACCATGTTTTCATAATAATCGTCCCGACTAATGCACCTAGGGTGAAAAGAATTTTTGCATTTTTGACAATAATACATGGGGAACTTGGGGTGCATTTCCTTCTCACATATATCACAAAAGAAATCTTCGGGATGATCCATGATTGGAGGATACATCAATGGGATTTTATGTCCTTTGCAATACCTATGAGAAATGGAATTCGGTAACCTCGTTGCACATTCCATTCCTAATATGAAGTTACAAGCCTTACAATCATAACTCATACTATCAGACCATTTGTTGCATGCTTTACAAAGAGGTTCGGGATCAATAACTTGGATAAGAGGATGCTTGTGGGATTTATGTTTGATACTTTTGGGTAGAAATGCACAGCTAAGACAGAGGTAGAACTTGCAAGTTTGACATTGGTATAAAAAATTGTTGCCATCGCGAAAACAACCATTGCATTCATAGATAGACCCTTGTAGCAACGTTAATTCAAGTGAATGAGCCGGATGAAGCTGATGTTCTAATTTGAGGCGTAACTCGGCACAATATTTGTGGAGAGTGAATGAGCATCCATCTAATTTGCAACTGTAGTAGGGAAGGGAGAGGGGTCGTACACACCCATGACATACCTCTAATCGATCACTACTACAACCAGACATGTTAGCTTGAAGGATTAATGGATGATGATGACTCCAATGGTTAATCATAGTTTTTCGATCAGCATCATCGTCATCATCTGGTGCTATCATTCCAGAATGTAGCAGTTTCAGTGGATCTGTAAATGCATTTGACATGGGAAATTGCAGCAGATTATCTACCTCTTCATCAGCAATGGAAGTACTTGGACCATCTCTGAAACCACATATAATTCTTAGTTAATTTCAAGGAGCAATTTTCTTAAACATAGAAAAGGAAATTAAAGAAGATTTACCTTGGAGTAGAAGGTAGCTCTGCATTTAAGGCGCATTTGATATGGCAAAAATATCTACAGTTTTCACAATGGTACAACCAATCATTCCGTCGGATGTAAATCTTGCAAAATTCACAATAATAAGAGAATTTATAGAATTTTTCTGGAAGAGAATAAACCAGAGTGAGTGGGTGATCAGGGTGATGAGGTAGATGGATGGTAGGGGCTAAGGAAGCACAAGTCTTGTGGATCCAAAAGTCACAACTGTCACAAATATAGAACAAGCCTTTATCCTCAGTTTTGCAAGCATCACACCTGAATGCAGCAGGTCTTAACTGAAGGGATAAAGTGTGTTGTGGATGGCCTTCATGTTTGACCTTCATCCTTGTCTTCTTCTTCATAGCATCAGCTTCCGCTTTGCGAGCAATCTCAACAACGCAACAGTCGATGCAAGCATTAAAGTTAATGTTGTACTCAGGTTTTCCAAAGTTATAACAAAACCCCTTAAATTGGTTTAGACTACAACAAACATCACAAAACCAAGATTTGAATTTTGTAGGCCCGAAATCGAATAGCATTAGAGGGTACTCATATAAGGAAGGCAGATTGATGGTGAGCGGAAGCTGTGCGCATGCTTTATGCATAAAGTGACGACATGGCATGCAAGCATATGCGAAGCCACTTGATGATATAGGTTTTTGACATGCATAGCAACCTATTACACCACCACCACCACGATTCTCCAAAGTTGCACTTACAATCGTCTCTGAGTTGACAAGATTTAATGGATGGTTTTCATGACTAAAATGATTAATTTCTTCTATATCTTCTCTCTCTTTTGTGATATCCATACGAGCTGAACATCAATGGCAATTGAAAGATTTGTTACCCTGAACTTCAAATAAAATGTGGCAGATGCATCACTCGAGGAATCAACTTAATGAATTACTTCTTTTAATTAAATTGCTTTTTGCTTCCAAGTAGTCTTTTTAAGATGCTGTTTAATAACAACATTCTTTTCTTTTCTTATATACCAAGTTAGCATATGATGCATCTCCTTCAAAACTGTCATACATCTCTTCTTCCAATTGGAATTAATTTCTTTCTTGCATACCAGGTTAACATGCATTATGCTTAATTTCCCTGCACATTCAAAATTGACATAAGCCTCAGGGTTGCATTTCCGGTGTTTTTTTAATCCCATATGATTATATCAATAACATTTCAAAACTTTTTCTTAAATTTAGCAAATGGATCAACAACTCAGGACCACCTTTGTGTTTGTATCACTCTCGCCTTCACAGCTTTAAGGTAAATAAATTGAAGTAGACTACTAAAACAACCGAATACAGAAACTACATTACTATTATTTCCCTTTTAATTTATTCTCCATTAATAACTTTTTACTTTCAATCACATTTTACATTGATTCTGTTTTCTATATTTTTTTCGTCAATTAATTAAACCTAAATATAAGTTTTTCCTATTAAACGATTATACTTTGAAAAAATTGTATAACTTGGGACCATTTTCCTGCAATTTTATATGCAGCCACCATTTATGTAATATACTTTATTCCTGTAGGGGCAGAATGGTCATTTTTGAAAATAGATGGAATATCCTTCAAAAAGTCTATCCATTTATATCAATGAAAATTGTTTTTTGGATAACACTGCTATAAAACTGGAAGTAGAATACTAAGACATTCGAAGACATGAAAGTACACTGCTATTACCTTCTTTTTAAATTTTTTTCTCAATTAATAACATTTTACTTCGAATTATATTTACATTGTTTCTGTTTTCTATTTTTTCCATTAATTAATTAAACATGGATAAATGAAAGTAAATTGCTGTTACCTTCTTTTTAATATGTCACTCAACAGAGAATCACATCTACAAGTGAGAAAGACAAATCGCAAAAAGGCCTAAAAGCACTAAATCACAGACATCTTCAAGAACATCGATTGTTGGGTTGAAGACAGACAATTTATGGATTCGGAGGCGGCAAGAGCGTCAATGGTTTTGTTAGTCTGCTTATTGATTTTTGCAAATCGTAAATCAAACTCAAAGAAGTATGAACAACATAAAATGGTTAATAGCATACATATACAAATAAAAAACCTAAATCCGATTCGAAAAAAAGAGAATTGAAAGACAAATCCACCAGCTTCAACCTCCAACCCCCCCAAATCCATCTATTATACCAGTTTCGAAAAAGATAAAGAGAAAAAGAAAATTTGGGGAAGAAAAGAGAGGCAGCTAATCAGTGGGGGAGAGGAAATCATCTCTGACTTTCATTTCTTCCAACGAGGTCAGTGGGGGAAGGATGATAAAATCCCCCTGAAAGCCCCCAATCCATTTGTGGGATCGATTGATTCCTGCGAAACCAGTGGGAATGAGAAATAGAGGAGACAGAAATGATGGTTGCAACGTCGTTTGCTTTTGTTCTCTTTCATCGGAGGTGCGGAAGGAGTCTGGCACGCCGACGGCAGTGGGAGCGAGTTGGGGGATACGAGAGTTCACTCGTCGATGAAAGGAAGAAACAACCGATTCCTGTGAGGCTTTCACTGATTAAATTTAATTTGGATAATAATAACGGAAAACTGAGTAATCTAATGATATTTTAGTTTAGGAAAATGAGATATATATACTAGTCTTAATATTTTCATAACAAAAAAGTCCTCTTTTTTTTTTTTTTTTTTTTTTTAATATTTTATTTTAGTAAAGCCCTGACTACCAGCAGTTTTTAACACGTTTATCCCTTTTTCCATGTTAGCTGGTAACTAGAACTTTATTTTAAAAAAATAAAAATAAAGTGTAAGGCTTTCTTGTCAAATCGTGAATTAGGATTTTACTGTCAAAAAAATAAAATTTTAGACTTTCTTGTCAAATCGTTGAAAATATTAGGACTTTAGTGTATTTTCGTAGCCCAAAAACTTTTAATTGTGATTTTCGTCGCAACACCACTGTTTTTCTTACTATCATCATATTTACCCTGATACAATCACGATCAGGGGAAACAGATTCAAAAGAGAGAGAACGAGAGAGGGTAAGAATACTTGTAAAACTTTCTTCTTGGTTCGCTGCAAAATCTTGAACTGAAAAGATGAGACAAATTGTACGAACACAAACAACACACGCCTTGTCAAAAGGGTGTGGATGGGGAGAAGGGGTAAGAAAGGCAGTTTCATTTTTTCCGGTTTCTTAGTTAGCCATTTTTAGGACTACAAAAAGCCAACACAACTCTGGTTCTTTCTTTCTTTCTTAATTATCTCCATTTTTTTTTTCAATGTTAGTTTGTTGAGATTAAAAAACTATTTAACAAGAAACAAACATTAAAGATTTCAATAGGATCTAGTTTACCAGAATAAACATTTGTAACATCCGGTCCTTCACGTAAACTTCTTTTCTTAAACAAAATGTAATTAGTGGGGTTTTGGCCATTAAACAGGGCGTAATGTAGCATCGTATGTATCGCGTAGGAGGAACATTGGTTTCGGGGGCTTTAATAAACTACGCCTTGTGTAGCTCAAGCTACGCATCGCATAGTGGCCCAAAGCACAAACCCAAATTTCGGGGTTTTTATTTGTGAATTCTCACATGTAAATTTTTGTTTAGAAACTTCAAGAGCCTTACGATAATTTTGGTGAAAATTTGGAGTTGCGTACTTATGTTTAGGTGAACTTCAAAACTTAAAATAAACAATATCATAATAGCTGATGTTGATACAAAACATGTAAAAATTACAATTGTTCATGATTTTATGGTAAAAGAAGACTAATGAGAGTGTGGGCGGGGGCCCGAATCTCCTAGACAACGGAGTGTGGGCAGGGCCCAAATCTCCATGAGAGTGGGCGGGGCCCATATCTCCTAGTTGTATGATATTTGTATGGTATGTGGTAGTCTGGGGAGACTTACTAAGCTTCATGCTTACAGTTTCAGTTTTGGTTTCAGGTACTTCCGGTAGCAAGGGGAATGGTTAGGGTTGATCACATGTTACACACCACAACATTCAGCCTGGGATTGTTTTGAGACTCTGATATTTTATCATATGTTTTGTCACAGTATTTGATACGATGTTTTAAGATACACGATGTATGGTTTTCTTTATGATGGATGATTTATGGTTTTATAATAATTTTCAAAACGAAAATTTTTCACCGAGTTTTTGGGGATGTTTCAAGTTGGTATCAGAGCCTTAGTTTGAGGGATTCAGACACACTTTTAGATGTGTCTGGAATCAAACTAAGGAAGTGGTCTAAAATTTTCAAAAGAAAATCATTTTTACAAAAAGGATTTTGAAAATAGAAAGGAATTTTGAAAAGAGAAAAAGGGTGTGGTGCATGCAATCAGCCAAATTCAAGTAAGTACTCCCAAATTACCCATACAAGTTTATTTTATGATATGTTTTTCAGCTTTATGAGAAAAACATGCTAGATTAGGACTAAGGATCTAGGAAGGGTGCCTTATGTGCCTGTTATATGTGTATCAGCTTTATGAACTGCATGCTAGTACAAATCAATCAGTATGATAGCCAAAGTAGTATATGTTTGATTATGTGTACCCAATGCTCGAATGTTGCTTGCTTTGTGGTTTTAGGAGTTTTAGCTATCCTTTACTAGATAGTAAACGAATATGCTAAGTTACATATTGCAAGGACTAAATAATTTTAGAATGTTAGGTTTAGCCCTATTGCGCAACTCTTGTTTGAGTCCAACCTTTATAGGGTAGGATCTCTAATTCGAAGAATTATCTAGTCTTAGTGACATGTAATAGTATTCGCGAGCTAGTTAGGGGACGATAGCAGGGACTTCTTATGCAGCTGATGGCAGAGAGTGGGATGGTGATTACCCTAGGGCAAGCCTATGATGAGAGTAGCGCGTGAAGCAGTAGTAGGGGATTTGGTGGAGTCAAGACAGTTCTCGAGGAAAGTACGGATAGATGTGGAAGGTAGTATGAGCCCGTACTACTAAAAGTATAGGATCCGTAGTTGTAACGCCCGTAGATCCGGACTAGTCAATTTAGAGACAATGAGCATCAAAAATTAGTTTTTGATGGAAGATTATTTAGAAGGAATAATCTTAACCAAGTGGTAGTATATGTTACAAGGGTTCTGCACATATAAAGAACGCCGAAATCCGAGTTATAACGAAGAAATTATGGCTCGTCGAAGTTTTACGGTAAAACTGGCACGACACCGGGAAGCGTAAATAGTGAATTTACGAAAGAGTGACTTTTAGCCTTAGCAATATAAACGAAAGTCGTAGAATACGTTAAACCGAGAGCGTGCATAAAAAGAACGCCCAAATCTGACTTCGTATGAGGAAGTTATGATTTTTCGAAGTTTCGGCTTAGCAGTGTACAACCCGAAGTTCGAATAATAGATCGAGCGGTTTTTAGCCGACACAACCTAAACGAGAATCGAAGATCTCGTTAATATTAGCGTGATGATAAAAAGACAGACGAAAACGGATGTCGGATGAAGAAGTTATGAATTTTCAACGGACCAATCCTGTCCCGACCTGTTAAAAATATAACTTTTAAAATAAAGCCAAAATTAGCCAACGAAGTCTAAACGAAAGTTGTAGACTATATTCCCGCCTACACGTGGATATAAAGAACATTGAAAACAGAGCTCGTATGCGAAAGATACAAATTTTTGAAATCGGAGTATGAATTTACGAAGCCTGATGTGAACTCGATGACGTGGCCAAATCTCAGTCGTTCCTTGTTGCCCACGCCTCGCTTTGGATGGTGACAGCTGGTGCAAGGACTACGCCCAACGTAATCCGAGAACACCCCGCGTAGTCCGAAGGAAGCCTTGCCATGCGAAGTACACCCCGCTTCGGAAGGAGTTACGCCTAGTGTTCCAACCCTTGTGCGGTTCCGAAAGTAGCCACGCCACCTTAGCAGCTTCACGACACGTGTGTACGGCTGAGCCCTTACGCCCAACGTAGGTCCGAAGTACGCCCAGCGTACTTTGAGGCCTCTCGTCTATAAAAGGAGGCCGATGCAGCCTTCATTTCCACACCATTTCAACCTTCTCTTTCTCTCTCTAAGTTCTCTCTCTAGCCCTAGAAGCCCCCTAAACCCTAGGGAACTCCCATAGCACCTGAAGGAAGCCCCGAGGCTCCCGGAGTCTCGAGAAAAAGGGGTCTTTCGGTTCGAAAACGCTGCTCCAAGCGAAGCCCAGTTTTCGAGAAAACCCGCTGTAAGTGAGCTACGCCTACACTATTTTTAATATAGTTTTTATTTAATTATAGTAACGTTATTAGGACCTTAAAATAATTATTTGGGCTAATATTATGAGTTATATAAGAGTGTTACTTAACGCTTATATAATAGTAATAATAGCTAGACTATTAATTAGTCTCGGTAAATATTAGACTAAACCCTAGTGGTAATGATACTAGGTTTTGTCAAGTGAGTGCATAGATACTTTCATTGAAGGTGCGGAAGGAATCTGGCACGCCGACGACAGTGGGAGTGAGTTGGGGGAAACGAGAGTTCACTTGTCGATGAAAGGAAGAAACAACCGGTTGTTGTGACTGATTAAAATAATTTAGATAATAATAACGGGAAACTGAGTAATCTAATCACAGTTTAGGAAAATGATATATATATATACACACACACACACACACACCAAAGTCTTAACATTTTCATCGATTTGACAAAGAAGTCTTAAACTTTATTTTTTTTTTATAGTAAAGCCCTAACTACCAACAATTTTTAACACATTTATCCTTTTTTCCGGTTAGCCAGTAACTATGACTTTACTGTAAAAAAAAAAAAAAAAAAATTTAGGACTTTTTGGTCAAATCGTGAATTAGGACTTTACTCTAAAAAAATGAAGTTTTAGACTTTCTTGTCAAATTGTTGAAAAAATTAGGACTTTAGTATATTTTCGTAGCCCAAAAACTTTTAATTGTGATTTTCATCACAACACCACTGTTTTTCTTACCATCATCATCTTTACCCTGATACAATCAGGATCAGGGAAAACAGATTCAAAAGAGATAAAATGAGAGAAGGTGAGAAGACTTGTAAAACTTTTCTTTTTGGTTCGCCGCCAAATCTTAAACTGAAAAGAAGGGACAGATTGTACAAACACAAACAACACACGCCTTGTCAAAAGGTTATGAATGTGGAGAAGGGGTAAGAAGAGCAGTTTCGTTTATTTGGTTTCTTAGTTCTCTATTTTCAAGACTGGAAAAAGCCAACACAACCTTGATTCTTTCTTTCTTTCTTAATTATCTCCATTTTTTCAATGTCAATTTGTTGAGATTAAAAAAACTATTTAACAAGAAACAAACGTTAAAGATTTCAATAGAATCTAGCTAACCAGAATAAACATTTGTAACATCCGGTCCTTCAGATAAACTCCTTTTCTTAAACAAAATGTAATTAGTGGGGTTTTGGCCATTACACATGGCGTAAGGTAGCATCCTACGTATCGCGTAAGAGGAATATTGGATTCAGAGGCTTTAATGAACTACGCCCTGCGTAGCTCAAGCAACGCATCACATGGTGGCCCAAAGCACAAACCTTAATTTCGGGTTTTCATTTGTGAATTTTCACATGTAAATTTTTGTTTAGAAACTTCAAGAGCCTTACGATAATTTTGGTGAAAATTTGGAGTTCCATACTTATGTTTTAGGTGAACTTCAAAACTTAAAATAAACAATATCATAATAGTTGATGTTGATACAAAACATGTAAAACTTACAATTGTTTATGATTTTATGGTAAAAGAAGACTAATGATATAACAATTTAATATTAATAGAATAACATGCACATTGTTTTGATTTTAAAAGCTAATGACATATTTTTTTCAATTATAGAATAAATTCTTAAGCTACAGTGTTATACCATGACATATATGTATGGTTTGTTTCAGTAGGCTCCAACTAATCTGGAATCTGCATTGCCTCTACCATCATTCACATCCTCCTATAATTATTCACCTTCATCGTCTTCGACACTGGTTTACACCGACATTCCCTCAACATGTCAAATTACCAAAAATGATATGATTTTCCAATTATAAAATACGAAATTTCAGTTAGATTCATTAATGGTAATTCAAAACTTACTTTCATGGACGATTAGAGAATTGTACTTTGTAAGTACAGTGCTAAAACTAGGTGGTTGTCTTTATGGTATGCCTAATTATAATATTATACTTTCAAAGTACAATCCAGAAAAATAGAAATATACGTTTGGTTTGTGTGTGTCTATTGATTCACAAGTTTTAATAGAATACAAAGAGATGCTACTCAATTTAACAAAAAAAAAAAAAAAAAAAAATTGAATGCGTATTTCTATTTTTTTTTTTGGAAAGAGATGCGTATTTCTATTTCTTGCAATTGAAAGCAACATTTTAACACGAATAAACTGCATGATAATGCAAAAAAAAAAAAATTATAATGCCTACGTGTCTCTATCTTGTAAAATTTCAAAGTTAAAGATTGTTTTTCCTTGGTGTTTCTGGGATTGTGACCAATCGTAACCAATTCAACCATGTTGTCACGTGGAAGAATATAAGTTTGTCGGCAATTAATAAATGTAATTCCACTCCTATCAAGAGCTCTATCAAATGCATGTTGATGATGATGATAGATATCGTACCTTCTAGATCTTCATTGACCTGAAACACGCGGCATTATTCCAGCCTTCTTATTCATCTCCCATAATAAAACAACAATTAAATTAGTTTATACAGAGATGGAATACACAAATAAGTTTTATATATTAGTCTTTTCCCTATGTGTCTGATTTTCAGTCTGAAAGAATCTTATCTAAAAGAAGAAGTAATATGTACTTATTTAAAGGAAATATATAGAAACAAAAATCCTCAACTTGAAACAGCATGTAGTTTAACGACCTATATTGATACTTGAAGAAGTTAAGAATGGATCTCCAGAAGTGCTTGTAGGAGTAGCTGATGCATGGTATCCAAGAACCACGCATATTCACTGAAATATTGGGAATAGGAGCCTCAAAGTTAAGAACTTGAATCGCTTGTCTTATAGATGGCCTCAGACTTCGATCAGGGAGCACACACCATAATCCAACCATCATCAAGCACTTACCTTGTTCTTCATCAAAATCTCCATTCAACCTCTCATCAACTCCCGAAAGAATCTCCCCTTTTCCATGCAAACACCAAACCCAATCCACCAATCCCATTTCAGAATCCCCATCAATACAATCCCTAGCTTTCCTTCCACAACAGATTTCCATTGCAACCACCCCAAAACTATAAACATCCGATTCCTTGCTAGCTTTACCGGTTCTTACATACTCAGGCGCCATGTATCCTAAAGTTCCTGCTAAATTACCAGTTGTCTGTGGACCTAACTCATGGTCCATAAGTCGTGCTAACCCGAAATCTCCAAGCTTCACATTAAATCCCGAATCTAGCATCACATTGCTTGATTTGATATCACGATGTATCACGCATTAATTGTTCCCATTCCTCATGAAGATAAAACAAGGCAGAAGCCAAACCTAATGATATCTTGTACCTCACACTCCAAGAAAGGGGATCCATTTTCCCAAAAAGATGAGTGTCAAGACTACCATTTGGCATAAACTCATAAACTAGTAGAAACTGATTATCATCATGGCACCAACATATGAGTTGCACCAAGTTTCTATGCCTTAGACTGCTTATGACCTTCACTTCTGTTATATATTCCTTCTTTCCCTGTTTAGATCCACTTGAAATCTTTTTAACTGCAACTACTTTTCTTTCACGGCTGAGGTATCCCCTGTAAACACAACCAAATCCTCCTTCACCCAACTTGAGATCATCAGCGAAGTTATTAGTAGCCAAAGCAAGATCTCTGTAAGAAAATCTTTTGGGCCCTGCTCCTCTTTCAAGATCATCATTGATTGAAGACAAGTTGATTGTCTCTAATGTTTCATCTGAAGGACTCATGTGATTCCTCAAATAGATAATACTATATGCTATTATGCCTCCTGCTAGTAGAACACCTAATGGCACTGCTAACCCGACACCCAGCTTCACCTTTTGTGATGTCGTTTTATTGTCATCTTTTATATCCAAGCTTGAGTTGAACTCCCAGTACTGAAGGGTATGTCTCTCCATATACTGACCAGTGGAAGCTGTGATGCCGATAGTGACCCATGAAGGAAGAACCTCTTTGAGATCAATTTGATAAGAAAGATTTGAGTTCCCTTGAAAACTGGGGTTCCTTTCATAGGTCCAAAACACACTTAGATTCTTAGTAGTGGAATTATAAGAAACCCAAGCATTCGCAGTAGCTTTATTGTGCAAACTAGCATTCCAAGGAGCGTATGCAACCGAAGAAAGTGAATTCCTGTTGATTCCTACGTGTTCCATAGGAGGATCCCAGTCCTGGTTGGAGTAGGAGTCAAACTCTACAGAAACAACTGGGCCTTGAGATGGATTGTCGCTAGTTGTTGAGTTAAAGAGGCCTAGAAAACCAGCAGCTGAGTTAAGAGGAGTTGTGAAACCGACTGGAGCAAGAAAGAAAGCAAGGCCATGGCCATAGGGGACAAACTTTTGGGTGTCGATTACAAAAGAGAAATGAGTAACAAAATCTGAAAGCTTTCCTGAATTTGAATCCCATAAGGGAACTCTCTGTTTATAAAGGACTTGGCCAACACGACAACAGTAGACGACACTGTTGAATTCCACAGCTCCAAAAGAAGGCACTGCATCGCCTATATAGACCACTTGTTTTGCATCGGAATCAAAACGAGCTACTTGGAAATAAACCGAGTTAGATATGGGGAAAATCAAGATAAGAAAATAGATACAAGATGTAATATCAGCATACATCGTTCCACATGAGCAAAAGGAAGCCATGATTATGCAGATCTGCGTCGGAAAGTCTCAACATGAAATTAGCATATGTTAATTGTTAAGACGTAATTTTGGAATTTAAATTCTGATTTTATAAGATCTATATCTGAAGCTAACCAACATGATTACATGAAATTTTTTAACCAAAGACAGCCGGAGTATTACGCTTGCTTTGCATATTTTCCTTTTATGGGTCCTACGAATAAAGATATATAAATATGTCATAGTGAGTTTTTTAAATTGTCAAAAGCCATGCGGTGGACTAATAGAAATAAAGATCGATGATTTTTAAACAATATAATCTAGCTGAACTGTAACAAATTATGCTGGTTATCATGTAATCCTACCGAATCATCAGCAAATACATCGGAAGAGTTCATGAAGACAACTTTGACAAGCAATATATATATTAGGATGAAATGCATCAAGGCAGGGCCGGGTCCACTAGGTAGAAAATTCAATGCCTCACCCAGAATGAGTAGTAATTAATGTTCCAAACGTAACATTTTGACAAAACAAAAACAATCTCATGTTTGACACACTAAAATAAATGATGTGATAAATCACAAAACGTGCTTAGTTGCCAGTCATGTCGAAGAACACATTAATATATATATATATATATATATATATATATATATATATATATATATATATATATATATATATATATATATATATTATAAAATATTAATATTTCCATTTTACTAAGCCTATGAGGTGCTCATCACACCTCTCACAATCTCACTTTTGGTCTTCTTTCACCTAAGTTCTTCATCTCATGTCACTCCCCATATTCATCTCTTCACCTCCCTTTTATCTAGGAAATTACCACATCTCACTTATTTATTAATTTTTTTAAAATGAAACTAAATACAAGATTAATTTAAAATAAATGTACGATTAACTTACATATTAAAAATAAAATTAATAAACACAAGATTAATAAAAATTAAGTTTTTTTATTAATCCTAACTAAAAATTAAATTACATAATAATATAATAAAAGAAATTATCATTCCGAATCCACGTCGACAATACTTAGTTGAGTTTTGTAAGGGGTCGTTTGATACTTGTTGACTGAGTTAGAGCTCACCGTGTTAGAAACTGACTGGGTTAGAAATTCTGAATGAGTTAACTTCTGAAGAGGACGGCGGCGAAGGAAGTTTCCAACAAGGCTGAAGATGATAGATAGAAGCGAGAGAGAGGATGAGTGATGTCCGTTCAAGGAGTAGGAGAAGATCAAGTTGGGAGAAGACTGGTGGTTGAAGGAAGGAAACGTTGCTTGGATCGATTAAAGGAGATGGAGAGTTGCATCCAGGGCAAGGGCAAAAGACATCAATTTTTCAGTCAGCCTCTTTTTTTCAGCGGACCGAGTAAGAGCCCTATGGACTAACTGTGGACCGAGTAAGGAGATGGAGAGCATGTATCAAACACACCGACTGGATCGGGTCAGTTAAAATGTCTGACCGGACCACCACAAGGAAAAAGGCCATTACCGGCGACAAAAGTCGCCGGTAAAAGTCCCAAATGTCGCCGGTAATGATAATAGCGGCGACGCATCGCCGGTAATGAGTCGCCGGTACTGACTCGTCGCTATTGATCAATTTGTCGCCGCTAAAGATAATAGTCGCCGCTATTACTATGTCGCCGCTACTGACAATTGTCGCCGCTAATAATGTTGTCGCCGGTAATGAACTATGTCGCCGCTAATAGTGTCGCCGGCAAAAGTGTCGCCGGTAATGATAACTGTCGTCGGTAAAAGTGTCGCCGGTAATTTGTTTTTCAATTTTTTTTTTAAATAACGATTTTCGTTGCCGGTGATAATATCGCAGGTAAAAGTGTTGCCGGTGATAATATCGCAGGTAAAAGTATCGCCGGTAATAACAATATTCGATTAAATATCAAAACCAATAGTGTCGACGCTAATTACAAAACAAACATCCTATTAAATATCAAACATAATAGTGTCAAACAAACATCCTATTACAAACAAACATCCAATATACAATTAAATATCAAAAGTCATACTATCCGAGTAGCAAAACAACAAAATTTTTACATTCTACTAAGTAGCAAAACGAGACAACATATGCAAATAAAACCCATTCTTTACATACCCTCATCGTTGTTCCCATCGTTTCCTTGATTGTTTTGGGATTGAAAAAACGAATAAAGCTCATCCCTACATGCCGGGTCGGCGAGCATTGCACGAAGATTTTCCAACTACATAATTAATAACAATATATATAAAATTATAAGTTAGATCGTCAAACATAAACAAAGTACATTGCTATATTTTCCAACTACATAATTAATAACATAAACTATCAAAATACATTGTTATTTTTAAAGTAAGATAGAAAACCAAAGTACATTGCTATATTTTGCACTTGGGACAAAAACTAAATTACCAAACTTTTTAGCAAATAACCACCACAAAACCAAAACTACCAAATCAACATGCATTTTACGATGCTAAAGTAGATTGCTATTTTACCTGTGATGGTGGTTGTGATGGTTGCGAAGGCTGTGGAATCGTCGGGAGACCAGAAGGTTTGCGGCCAATGCCTCTAATGTGGCCACGTCGCTCTCCTAATACTTTCTCGAACGTAGCTCTTTCTTGAGTTGGCGTAAACTCACTTTCACCTTGAGTTTGTTCTAGCAGCTCTTCAACTAACCGATTCTGTAACTCCCAAAAGTGAGTAACAATTAAGTATAAATAAACATTTAAATATATGATAAAATTATAATTAAATACTTACATATTGTTGTTCCGATTCAGCAGTAACAAATACACCATTCTTATCGGTGTGAGCTTTGCGAAATGTTTCCACTCTCTTAAGGTTCTGTTTAAGTTTAAAAATTAGATTATATTTTAAATAAATAATTACATGTATCGTACGGTACCTTCTTATAGCAAGTACTGCTATACGAGCTCGAACCCCCACGATTCACAATTGTTTGCTTTTCACGGATTTTTTTGTTCCTTTCTGAAGCAATTTTGTGTTCGTCAGTTTGAAAATACTCAACTGTCTTCTCCCAGTTATCAACAAGCATACCATCCGGAGGATTTGCCAATGCTCTCGGGATATCTTCATACCCTCCGACCATGTTGAAATATTCTTTTGCGTCGGCTTTACGCTCTCGAAAACCTCTTAACAAGGCTGCTTGAAAACTCTCTGTCAATAAAGTAGCTTGTGCATCCTGGTACATTTGATTGAGATCAAACTTTGTCTACAATTAAAAAAAAAAGTTAACCAAGTAAGAAACAATTATAGTTAAACCTATAAAATATATTTAAATAAATAATTACCGCTAAATGTTGTAATACATTTCCTTTATTTCAGGGGAAACTCTTTTCCAACTCCATTTGTCGAAAGGGACCATCTGCCACATTGTTTTCCCAACTTCTCGGGAAAACATGTCTCCCGCCTCTCCTACGGGATTAAATGTGATATCTCTATCAAATTGCATGGCTATTGGTTTCCCCTGGTTCTGCAAGATTGCTTTTTCAAGCTTTATATTTTTTGCTTTTCCTCGAGCTTTCCTTCGGGCACGTCCCTCAACTACAAATGTAATTAAAAATTATTAGAAACGACATTTAATTTATGATAATTGAACAAAAATAGTAAATAAAAATTCATTATAAGACTTACCGTCCTGCTCGTGCTGGCCAGGACCTCTACCACCTGGGAAAGGTGGGTCCTCAGCTCCGTCTCCCCCATGTCCACGACCCATGACAGCAGCCATGGTAAACATAAACAACAGCCACACTCTCATCATTTCCTGAAAAATTATAAGATATACAAATACAATTTTTATTATAGATACACATTACATAGGAATAAACATTTAGATAGGAATAAACATTTCCATTTAAACTAGAAATCCAAATACAGTTCATATTATAAACACATATTACAAATACATATTACATAAGAACTATTCTAATCAGAATCTTTCTCATATCCTTCAGTGTCTTCTTCGGTATCATAGTCAGAATCGGTGTCATCGTAATCAGTATCGCAATCAGAAACATCATTGACTCTACCAGTTGGCGGAGGAACTTCAGATGCACTTTCTACATCAACAATGACTCTAGGAATGTTTTGAAAGTACATGCTGAAATCGATAAAAAGTGGAGCATCGGATGAAGAGATATTTTGAAGTACATCGACATCGTCTACATTTTCGTGTGAGACATTGTCAACATTTTGAACAAGGTCATCGTTCGATGGTAGATCCCAAATACTTCGATGATTAACATGCTCGACAACACACCGATGGTTATTGTTTGGCTCTCTGATGTAGAACACTTGTTTGGCTTGTGACGCATATATGAGTTGATCATCTTTGTATGCTTCGCGTCGTGTGTCGATACTGGTGAAACTATCACTAGAAATAACTCCTATTCGAGTATCAAACCACTTGCAACGAAATACTACAGTTGAATAATCATGTGTATACCTCAACTCTATAATCTCTTCTAACTGACCATAATACTTCTCGCCTTTCTCACCCACCGCTAAAACCCCAGAGTTTTGTGTTGTACGTTGTGTGTCACGACTAAGTACCATAAACCTAACACCATTGACTATGCATGCGGTGTAAGAATAGGCATTCATTTGCGGGCCCATTGCAAGAACCGACAACTCTTCGTGGAATTCTGGAGATTTTTCTATTTTCATTTGATGAACCTAACAATTATAAATTAATATGTATTATGTATTCGTTAGATCAATGAAAAAAATTTGTTTATTAATTTATATTACCTTTTCACGAAACCAATTACGAAATTCTCTCTTTTCATCACTTTGGGGATGCTCAGATTTGAATTTCCTATGTTGATGACCAAAAGATATAGATTTTAAAAAGATAAAATATAAAATTAAGAATGAAAGTTAGAGATAAGATTAATTACTTGATAAAATATAGATTTTTGTGTTTTTTTTTCCAATTATAAGTTAACTATATAACTTATTGGTTAATTAATTTGGAGT